GCCGTAGATGTCTGACTGGCTCGTGTGAGACTTAACCACGCCACACCACGCCACGCCACGCATTGCCACGCCACGCATTGCCACGCCACGCATTGCCACGTCACGTGACTCTACAAAGATAGGCCCACGACGTTCTATAAAACAATCTCCCAACCTGAATGGCTCACATATAAAAAGTTACGGGCATATACATACAGTCAAAACTGTCTAAGACGGCCACCCGTTGCCGAGGAGAAAAAAGTAATTGGCTTAATTAGACAGACGGACGTTTTACATAGTGTCTTTATTATGTGGAAAAAACCGAAAAGGGGGAGATGGAAAGTGGTTGTTTGGACAGGTGATTGTCTTACACAGGTAGCGGTTAGACCAGGTTTGACGGTGTACTGAGTTTTGTTCGTTTAAGGACAGGGAAACACGTCGACACAATAGCTGTCATCTCGTTTTGTTTGTTTTAATAAGAGTTTACGACACTTGCAATACAATAAGGTCATATAAGTGCTGAAGATTAGAGATGTTACAAGAGAGTAACAAAAGGAGGAGGGATAAGGATGATAGATGTTCGATAGGAAAGAAGGAACAGACCACATCAGAGCACCCGCCAACTACCCTCATCTTGTGTGGGAATACCGGAGAGGAAAAGGGAAAAACAGTAGGGCCTGCAAGTGTACCTTTAGTTTTAGTAGCGGTTTTACAGCGTTCGCAAAAGAATAAGGTCATTTGAGCCCCAGAAGATTAGAGGTGTTACAAAAGAGTAAGGGAGATAAGGACGATAGATGTTTGATAGGAAAGAAGGAGCAAACCACACCAGAGCACCCGCCAACCACCCACAGTGGTACCCTTAACAATCCACGGTATCGTGTCTGACTCTGAGTTTGAGTAAACAGAAGCACATCGACACATCAACAGTATATAGCGCAAGAAAGAAGTAAGATAGACGGACAGAAACAACAGAGGGAAAGGCAAGTTGTAGAACCTACCAGTGGCACCTTCCAACGACCCGAAAGTCTGAGTTTGATCGGTCCAACGCAGCAAGTTTCAAAGAAAAACAAAGGGGGGGGGGGAGAAGAGGGTGGTAATCTCGCAGTCTACTTTCTACTGACAAAGTCAGTAAGTGTGAGAGGAATCGTCCTCACAAGACGCTGTCTATTCTAAGGATGTGTCCACACTAGACATTTCCGGGTGTCTTTTTCTTAGGACGTGTCCATACTGACCACTGCCAGGCGTATTCTCTAAGAATGTGGCCACACTAGACACTACCAGACGGTGTGCTAGGCGAGTGTGTGAGTCAGCTATATCTATTATAAAGGTGTTTTGTGACGTCATAAGATTGGGGGAACACGTCTGTTTGTGTGAGTGAAGATGCACACATCGACAAAATAACGGTCGCTTCGTGCAGGGGAAAATGTAAAACAAGGAGATGGAGAGGAACAAGAGCAGGAAAGAGAAGAAGCTGGGCCTGTAAGTGGCGTCCTTCAACTCCAACCATCCGCGAGAACCCGCCATTTCCGTCAACAAACCTGGACGTTTTAGAAGAAGAGTGGACAATTATGTAGACAGGGAGTAGGTGTCCAATTCCTTAGAGACTCCAGACACAATTACTTGTCTACAAGCCTCGGACTGACGTGACACGCTTCACAAGTTTGACAAGTTTGACACGTTTCACAAGTTTGACACGATTTTCAAGGTTGACAAGTTTGACACGTTTCACAAGTTTGACACGTTTCACAAGTTTGACACGATTTTCAAGGTTGACAAGTTTGACACGTTTCACAAGTTTGACACGATTCTCAAAGTTGACAAGTTTGACACGTTTCACAAGTTTGACAGGTGTAACAAGTTTGACGCTGTGACCACATTGTGATTTGAGTTTATGATACATGTATCATGAGTATTAATTTATGTGTGTGTGAGTGTGTGTGTGTGTGTGTGTGTGTTTGTGAGTGTGTGTGTGTGTGTGTGTGTGTGTGTGTGTGTGAGTGTGTGTGTATGTGTGAGTGTGTGTGTATGTGGGTGCGAGTGTGAAAGAGAGGGAGGGGGGACAGACAGACAGACAGACAGACAGACAGACAGACAGACAGACAGACAGACAGACCGTATTTTCTTTTCCGTTGAGTGGTCTATCCAGTTGTGAATAAAACAAGCGGAATTGGTCAAAGACTGAGACATGTACATTGCACATTCTAATGTATATGGTCACAACCATTACACAACTGGCTGAATCATTAATTTTACTGGTGTCTAGTCATTGATATGCCTGAGAAAATGCCGGTAACTAGATTCGTACTCTCAACTTAGCAGGCTAGTGTTTCGTGTTATAAACATCCAGTTATTGAGACATTTTTTCCCTTCAGCTCGTCAAAAGATTGAGTTCGGAAAGCGGTGCTGTTTTAAGTTTTCACAAAACATCAAACTAGACAAGAGGACAATTCTTGTTCTGACAGTGAGGAGTCTGTAGTGTAGTAAGGTTTGTGTTCCTGACGCAGCTATACACAGTATGCCATACAGTCATGACTACATGCGGTGAGCAGCAGGTTATATTTATACCAGAGCATCTCATCTTTGCTTCAACTTCACATTCCACGTGCCACGTACATCATTCGTATCATGTAACAATGTAGATAGTTTGTACATTTGTGAGGCAGCGTGGTGGAATCAGGCTCTCGTCAAAATAATCAAAGTGAAGAAACTTGCATTTTTCCGCAGGTTTGTGAATTTTTATCAAATTTTTGTTTTTAGGCTCAACACCTTTCATGCCCATTAAAGAACTCATTTCTGTACAGATTTTTCTTAAAAACGTTGATTAAACTCACAAAAAATGTAAATTTTCAGTTTCCACGGACTATTAAGCTAAGGAAATAACCAATCTTTGGCGCCCATTTTCTCACTAATTTTACCTCTGAAAACAGGTGGTCCCCGCCTCTTTCATTCGCAAATATCTCGACTTGTACTCAAGATAAATGGATACTTTTTCCATTGAAATAAAGGCAAATGAACAAGCTTTAAGATGACACCAATAACTCAACATGCCCAAAAATTGACGAGAGCCTGATTCCACCTCGGTGCCTCACATTTAGTAAGTTTTGTGACGCAAAACAAATTGTCTTTATTATTATAAGTGCCGAAGACTAGAGGTGTTACTTGGGAATATTACGAAACCAAGAAAAGAAAGGGGACAGATAATGGCAATAGATCTTTGATGATAGGAATGAAGTAGTAACCCACACCAGAACACCCGCCAATCAGCCACTAAGAATGTATTGAATAACGGACTCTCAACATACGTAAAAAATGTAGGGTACATTCAAGAAAAAAAAAGCTCTACTCTCTGTCTTCGTTTGAGTAAGAGTTTTACGGCACTTACAACACAAAAAGAAAAAATGTGTAGGTCGTATAAGAGCCAAAGATTAGAGGTTTTACTTGAGAATAACAAACTACAAAGAAAATACAGGAATTAATCCATTTCGTCCCAACGTCGTTCACATACCGGGACAGAAAGCTAAGCTACATCTGTCAGTATTGAACACTATATTACTTTGACATTTACCACATTTTTTCAGAAAGGGTTGGAAAATGGTTTAAACTCTTTTTGCACCCCAGTATAATAATAGACCACATGGTACACACACACATGCACACATACACACACGCCAACACACGCAGTTTAATGTTCTGTGCATGTACATTGTGTTGATTGAAAGTATATTGATTATAAAATATAATCTTTTAGTATTATTAGAACAAATCGACAAGTGATTTTTTCTTTCTGTCAGTTTTAAATGACAATAGTATATATATCTATATTCATATATTTATATCACTGTATCATGACAATGTACACAACATTGGTGATAACCGGAGTATTTATGAGGCGTGATTGGTGTTATGGCGGGAGTTAGTGCTTATAAACTCGTTATATTTATTTTGTCAGTCCTGACTGCGTGTAGAAACGTGTTTTACCATGCTCTAAACCTGATTTCTGACGTTTCTCATCAGAGACAGAAATTTTGAATATAATAAAATTCCTCCCCCCCCCCTCTCTCTCTCTCTCTCTCTCTCTCTCTCTCTCCCTTTCTCTCTCTCTCTCTTTCTCTCTCCTCCCCCCCCCTCTCTCTCTCTCTCTCTCTCTCTCTCTCTCTCCCTCCCTCCCTCCATTTATGCATAAACCTTTTTTTTTCTTTTCTTTTTTTTTTTTTTTGGGGGGGGGGGGTCTCGTTCCCCAAAACTGGAAGAAGAGGAGGTGGTGAAGAGGGGGGGGGGGGGAGAATTATCAGAAGAAGAATAAGAGAAAAATGGACATGCCAACACAACTAATATCATTATAATATATATATATCATTCTATATAACTATCATTATATACATTGCATTTACTTAAATTGTATTATTCATCTCCATTTCTTTAATATCATTATAATATATATATATCATTCTATATAACTATCATTATATACATTGCATTTACTTAAATTGTATTATTCATCTCCATTTCTTTAAGTTAATTTCCATGTGAGTTTGGTGTTTGTTTTTGTTTTGTTTTTCTTTAGCCTTAGATTGGGTCTCAATCTAAAACCTTTACCGATAAGTTGAAGTTGAAGACATCCAATTTAGAACTTTCCCCTCGAGGGCTAGCTAGTGACGTGGCCTAGAACTGAACCCAAGTCGGGCTATAATAATACAGACGAATTCAAATATATGGATATTGTCGGCTCGCTGTTAAAATGTTAAAATGTACTACGCCTAAAGTCTTGATTTTTTTTTTAAAGTTTCACCGCCGGTTGTAAACTCTATGTGCTCAAGAAATATTTAGTCTAAATTATTTTTGTTTAATGTTGGAAAAAAAGCCAGAAAAAAAGTACATAGAAGGCCCTACTGTAGGTACAATTGTGAAAAGAATGATGAAACAGTTTTTGTTTTCTCTCATTTCTCCCGTGAAATGTCCCTTCCGGTGCTCGATGCACTAAATGACATCTTGCCGAAGACATACATGTAATGTATCAACAAAGGCCTTCTGCGTTTGTTTTCTTTTTTATTGCTCCTTGTTTTTTCGACTCGCATGTAAAAGGGAAAAAACGTGCGATAATTTTCTCAAAAACAAGCTATGTGCATTGTTATTGTTATAAGAAAAGCTTACGCGGACTGTGCAATATTCAGTTTTATTCTATAATTACTTTACTTTACATATCATGAAAAATGCCTCGCTTTACTATCATAATGAATGTTCTTGTCGTCGGTATAATTTTCTAAACATGATAAGTCCTGAATTTCTCGTGGTTTTCTTTGCGTTTTACGTCACAACCCGGGATGCCCCGTTGCGTGCTGTGATGATCACGTAAATTTGACCAATAGAGATGTTACTTTTATTAATTAATTAAGTCATCAGACCTAAGGCTGACAATTCAATCCTCCAGTCTTTGATCAAACGACAAACGTTGGATGTAAAACATCTGAGTGAAGTGAAAGTAGATTTTGTTGGACGGCAAAAAAAAGTGTTTCGGACTTACGTGTTTAGACAATTACACCGGCGTCTTTTTATTGTGATTGAAGAAACGTGATGGTGCATAAATTGCATAATGTTGAAGTGTATGGAGTATTGTGCACATCTTCGAAACTGTCATTTAGAGCAAGAATCTGCGTTATTGACAAATTCAACCTGCAGTGAATTCCTTTAGGTAAAGGTACAAGCCAGGCTATATGTAGGCTACAAAACAAAACCTAGCCTACTTGGTTCAAGCCATTCAAGGACAATAGCGGCTATCCTTTGGAAGTGAGTTCTTTACTTTTTCAAGTGAAATATTAGTTAAATCTATTGTTTTCACTTCTGGGTAGGAGCCATAACAGGCCTAGGGGCCTACAATAATGTGACTTTGAGTAAAGAAAAGCACAACAAAACAAGGGACAGAAAAGAAATCAACAACTGACGCCTTCTCTTTCAACCCTCCCGCTGATCATCACATTTCTCACTGCCATGGTGGGTAAACTAAGTGTAAAGATCTGTAAGTATTACAAGAAAGGTAACTAAATAAATAACTTAATTTTTGTGATCTGTTATCCAGATACTGTGCTTAAACTTGTGATTTAAAACTGATTCAGATCTGTGCCTCTGTGACAATTCAATAAAAGTATTTATCATAACATGATTTGAATGACAATGTGTTAACTCATAATGACATGACATATCATTATAATGAAGGGCTTTGTCTCAGAGTAAAATACAAATTAACGTCCAAAATGTAAAAACACAGATAAAGTGACTATTCAATTCACTAAATCTGTTGAAGAAAAAAAACGGAATCAAAACGGAATAAAATCAATGGTTACAGCACATTTTGCGACCAAATATTTTATTTAAAGCAGTATAAAAATAAAGTTAAAGACCCTGACTGTATTCAACATGAAAAAAAGCGAAATTTCATATATATACTGGAGACAGCCCATTTTGATACAAAGCTCTTCATATCATTGGCCAGCTGTTATAAATTACTAAACCCAAAACTGTGAAGAAAAAAAATTATTGCTGTTTTTTTTATATCTGTGGTACCAGTAGGGCCTATGTGTTCCCGAAATATTTTTTCGAAATTCCAATTCTAAGTCTTTTTGAAAATTCAACCAACAAAAAAATACATAAAGGTAGGCTACACATGTTCAAAGAATGAAACATGTTTTTCTCTCTCCAGCAATTTTTTTTCTGGGTTTAGTTCATAATAACAGTTTGTCAATAATATGTATCTTGTTCTGTTACAAAGGCCACAACAAGGGTACCGGTACATGATATATAATTATATCATGATGATTTCCACAAGTCCCGCATGTGTGGGGAGAGTGCAAAGATCATGCCATTAAACAGTTAACTCTACAAGATACTTATTCATAATCTTTTTGTTTTATTTCTTAATAATTTATATTTTTGTGTCGGTTTCCACTATGTGATTGTATGCGTTTGGGTGCACTGTTCTGCTTGTTACTGTTCTTTTGGTTGCTACTGTTTTTGTTGTTTTCTAAATTAATTTAAAAACTACCCAATTACTTTGTTTCATGCAGCTTTGCAATGGATAAAATCAAAAGAAAAATATGCATAACTAATTTTACGTTTATTATTAGCAAAACTCAATTCAAACTGCAGATGAAAATGGCAAAAATTGCTAAAAACATGTTGCAACACAAAATAGGCACCTTGACCATGACATTGTCAAAATGGGACATGGTACAGCTAAAAGACACCAAGCACACATTTATGGTATGACCCCAAGTAAATTAAACCACTGAAACAAAGATTTTAAATTATTGATATATCATACTATGATTTTTTAAAATCATTTCAATCAGAGTTATAATGCTGTTTTCAAGTGGGCACAGCAAAAGTAGGCCCACTCTGGCATTAGTAGTGCTTAACCACTTTACATGCATGATTTAAAAAATTTGCCCATTATTTTTGACAAGTCATGGCACAACTGGGAAAATTAGACCAAAAATGCAGGTCCAAGAAAATAACCAAAATGAGTTAGAAACTGAGGTGTAAACATTTGTTCACATACCCTGAAAGCCCTCAGAAGCATACGAATCATCTGTAGGATGTTTCTCAGCTGCCTCAATCCTTTCACCCTTGCTCTGTGACAGTTGCTTTTCAACAGAAGTCAATCTCAGAAGTTTTCACATTATATGCTTACAGTCCAAAGCTTTTGATTCTCGAAAACAATGTTAATTGTCCTCCGCAATCCAGTCCAAAGTCTTCAAAAAGCGTGTTCCTTCCGAATTTCCTTTCTTAAAAACTATTGTAGTTGCATGCACAGCAACCTGCTACCTATATCTCCCAACAAGGTGGTTTTTAGGGCACCTGTCATATAAGGGGGAATTTAAATACTTGATTTGCATTATGGAAGCTAGAGCGCAAACACTTTTGGAAAAGTTGATGCCTTGCTAGAAGAGTGCACACAGCTTCAACGGCATCCATCACGGGTCTGTGCAGTTTGTTCTTCCCTCTGTTAAATCAATCTCCTCTTCAGTGTGTTCCTCGATCTTGATGTGTATTCCTCATCTGTAGATCCATTTGTCCATCCCACCTTTCATGATTCTGATGACTGCATTCATTCTTGCTTCCAGTGTTTCACTTTCCTTGTTTCAAAACTTTTTTCCAGACGTTTCGTTTTTTCATCTTGTTCCATCCATGCAAAGCAAACTGTAGATTCTGTGTCATGGAACTCACCTGAAACATTGACAAAAACAAAGACAGGCCCATTAACACAACACAATGTTCATATAGTGTTTGGTGCAATTCAGTTTGCTTTATATATTCCCCTGGCTTCTTCTAATACTTTAACTTTTAAAATACTCGAAGCCGCACACTGCATCGTGCCTTTTTTTCCTGCTCAGAGCCCCACACAGTGGCACTGAAATCCTAGATAGATCTAGGCCTACAGTAAAATGTGAGGATATAGTTCTTCATAAAATTCTTAATTTTTGGGTTCTCCAATTTCTGTTACACCTTTGTCGAGCGTCTAGAACAGTGTTATCTCATTATATTGCATCAATGATGTCAATGCGCAGTGTGTGACTTGTTTTTAGTGGGGATATTACTAAAAATATGTAGGCATATATTATACAATTCAGATAAATGGTTAATATTACTTAGTTTTAAGGTCTTTTTACCTCAGATTTGCAGTGGCCTTCATGATTGTAGATAAGACCATGAAATTTATGACATCTTGAAAATTTTTGTGTAGAAGAGATTGCATTTTGCCATTAAATTTTATAAAACTTTTACGTAGAAAATATTTGGGCTTGATAAGTATGATTACAGGGAGGAGTTTTGCAGAGGGCCGGCACTTACCGTAACAAGGTCCACTGAGAAAACTATTCAACATTTAGGGTTAGGGTTAGGGTGTGTTGTTGGTCGGCCAGCCCTCTGCAGAACTCCTTCCTGATTACATAACAATTAACATCTATAAAGATGTATATATATATATATAGGCCTATATATACAGTCGAACCTGCCCTGACGGCCACCTCTATAAAACAGCCACCTGTAAAAACGGCAACTTTCCATTTCCCCCCTTGCATTTTTTTCTGTATAATTTAACTGTGTAAAACAGGCACCTGTCCAAGGCGGCCGCAGCCACCATATTTTAACACACAACCGCTATCACACCAAGCAATAACACCTGTCTTAGACGGCCACCTTTGTGACTCCACTTTTTGTCATAAATTGTGCATTGGCCCCTGGCGTTGTGGGCGAGCCATCATAGTTCAATCACCTGTCATTGTTGTTTGGTAGTCCCTCCAACTGATCATGTTGCGTAGGCCCCTCCCACTGTTGACCATCAATAGGTAACAAATTTTTAGCTGCTGGTGAGGTAAGTGTGTAATCCCCTCATGACCCATAAGCCCCCGCCCAGAACTCATACACAAATCGTAAGTGAGATGAGTAGGCAAGAATCAAAGTCCCCTAGCCCTAGCCCTAGGAGTCTGGGCTCCTACAGGACTCCAGTCCACAATATCCAATCTCTAATTATCCAGATCTAATTAATGTATAATCTCGCGACTTCTCGGTGCAACTCCTACTCACTGATCTAAAATCTATCGAATCCTCAATATCACTTTGGAGAAATACTCACTCATGAGATCGGATCCATGGGGGCATTCCTCTTCTAATTCAGGTCCTACGGGAGTCGCAGGAGTGGTCGTGGAAGTCTGGAAGCACTGCCGCTGCACGTTGGCAAAAATGGGAAAACACTCCATTATTCTATGTAAGAGACGAACTTGCGTTTTCATAGCTTGCCTTCTCGAAATACCTTTTCTTGGAGCGACAGGGTCGTTTCCTTTTTGCGGTAACATCTAATCACAACGTTTCTCTGAAGTGAGTGTCGTCTGCTGAGTTCAGGAAATTGTAAACAAAGGGTTATGTTTGTAAGCTGTTGTGTGATTGGCTAAAATTATCGGACTTTTGGGGGATATCCTTACATTAGACAATCAGAAATAGTTTCATATATCTACAAACGAGGACAAGCAGTGTGGTGCAGCACTTGTCGAAACATACCAAAATCCATTTATCTTTTGGAAATTAGTTCGACAAACGTCAACTTGACGGTCAAGACATAGCTTTTAAGAATTTTTGAAAATTAAAGATATTCAATTAGGTAAAATAGACTTATTTATGCAATAACAAATGTCTAAAATAAAATTATACTGACGAAACTCGAGTTGTATTTTAGCCTGAGCTATTTTGGGAAAGCTAGGTATTTAGTATAAATATGGATTTCTTTTATTGCACCAACTTCATGAAGGGAGGTAGTACGGGTTTACTAAAAGGCAATTGTAATTTATGGGTTTATTTCCCTTTGAAGAGCATTCAAAACAAATTCTGCGTCCGCACAAATAGGACATTATGTACATGATGTAGTACAAGGGGGGGGGGGGTGCTTAAGAAAAAAACGGAACATGACATTCACATAGTACAGACGTTTAAGTGCAGGGAAAGTATAGTAAGACAAACAGTATCAATAGAGAGGGAGAGTGAAAATGAAAGACCAATCACTCACGAGTGACAACCTCCAACCACCCACCCATGAAAGTACTGTCTACGCAAATACAATGTAGGATATTTTACCCCCAGAAGCAGGCGAGAGTAACTGAGACTATATCTATAAAGTAGATGGGTCAGGCTACACAAGCCACTTCTACTGACCTGGGTAGCATGAAACTATAGACCAGCTTGTTTACTTTTAAAGTTAAAACAAGATGAAATGAAATCGCTCCGTTCAATCTTCTCAGATCTTTGCATACGGGTCTAAAAGTTAGATGACAAAAGAATCCATAAACCCATTCACAGAGATCGCTGAAAACTAAGGTTCCGACACGTTTTCTTTTTTTTTTTTTAAGCCTAACGGAGATTTTTTAAAATAATAATAATAATAATAATAATAATAATAATAATAGGGGATTTACAGCATACACTTAAAAAGTTGAACATGTTTGTCTCACCACCACAGGGTGAGTAATTTTCGAGACTCACATGGACAACATGGAGACAGCATGGAGACAGCATGGGGATAGAATACAAGCTTATAAATCATGTACTGAGATAGGGGGGCAGGGTGGTGTCGCTGTCTCCAAATGAGCAATTTGTGGGCAAGGTTACTGTAAGTCTTTTTTTCTTTTACGTGATCTTGTGTATGCATCCAAAGAGCGGTTTTAATATAGCCTTGGGTCCAAAGAGAAAATCTTTTTTTATTACTGGTTCAAGATTTTTTTGATTTTTTTTTTTTGGTTGCCGGCCTGCAGAAGAGCCATGCAATGTCTCGTGGGCATAGGTAAATTCCTTTAATTGAGCTAGAATGTTTTGAAGGCGGTCAGGCGAAAGTGAACAAGCTGTACCATCCATGTCATTTCTTCTCACACTCTGAGGGTTTGCTTTTAGTGTATTTTTTCTTCAAACTTAAGTACCGATGTCTTTAATGAGTTTGTAGTCAAACGTTTCGTGTCTGTGGTAAAAACATCCTACTACATGTACTACATAAAGTAAGCAATGCTGTGTTGAGAAGAAAGTACACAGGAGTCATGTGGACACAAAGATAGGCCGTCGAGTTATAGACAACAAGTTGACAGACCAGACACAAACGGTTAAGAACTAAGACAGTAAGAGTAAGAGGTCAGTTTTCTACAATCCAATAATGCTGGGTTTGTCAGTCATCCGCTGACTGATGAATGTTTTATGGCCACATCAACAATTTAAATAATTTAAGACTAAGAGGTACTGTTGGTTGTTTCCATCCTGCAAACCAGGGCCGACCCTAGCCCAGTGGGATACAGTAACCCAGCACAGAGATAGTTTCTGTACAAAAAGCTTCCAAACACCGGGATCAACCTCGTCTCTTGTAAGGAACCTTACCACTATACCAGCCAATGGGAGTCCTATCAAGTGTGAAATTCTGCCGCTTGAACGGACAAGTTATTACCAGGTTGGAGTGTGGCCAATTGTCATAAGAGTGATTTGAGAGAGGAAAGAAAAGCACTCCCCCCACACAATACTTATTTAGTGCAAGGAAAAGTGAGACAGAACCAACAGAGGGACAGTTAAGAAGTAGGACCTACCAGTGGCATCCCACTCACACATACCAAAGCATGCATTAACAAACACCCACTACTACTACACATACACAATATCAATGGGGCAAAACACAAAAAGGAAATCACTCAACATAATATAAAAATGTTAATAGCATACTTTTAATGTGCATTGCATTGAAATCCCAACATTTTTGTTAAATGATAATCATAGAATTATAATTGAGCAAGCATGAGTCCTAGCCGAGAGCTCACACAGACATCTCCCACACCGCTGTACACAACACACATTTGCAGGCACACACACACGCACACACACAAACACAAAATGCCCAGAAAACAGCACCGCAGACACAACACACAGGTCTTCATCCCTCTCCGTCTTTGTCCGCCCCTCCCCCCTCTTTTTTTTTTCTAAAGTAAAAACTAGAGCAACTGGTTTTTCTTCTCCACCAAAGCCCGATGACCCCCCCCCCCCCCCCCTCGTGCCTGTCACGTCCGTCCACTTCCAGTTGTCCTCTCCGCTATTCAACTTCAACCATCCGCACACAGCTGTTGCCTCACTGTCCCGTCATTCATTATGCCTTGAAAAAGAGGCAGTGGGAGAAGACTGATTTATCTATACCGTCTCTGAGAAGACACTATAAATAGAACTGTCCTGACGGTAGTCATAACCACTGCGATGAATCAACTTCACAACTGCTGCAAGTGTACGGATGGATAGGTTTAACGCTCTTTCCAACACTAATAGGTTCATAAGGAGGTAAGGACCTCAGAATTTAACATCCGTCTCTGATAGGACCGAGCCAAATGGGTTGGGAGCCTTGAAAACTTCACAAAAACTACCAAAGTTAAAAAATGCCCAGTATGGGATCCGAACCAGGGCCATGCACTCCCTAGTTCAGCATGATACCAACTAAACTCAGCGCAAACTGTCAAGAAAAAACATAAGTCTTAGTCAAACTGAAGCAACCGTGACAGAGAGAAGTGACCTTGACCCAGGTCATGAGATGGTCGAGTATTGACCCCAGCGCATACAGTGCCACAAGTCACAGTAGCTGGTGTGTGTCTGTTCAGGCAGCCCGACCCCAGGCAAGGGGGAAGAGACACAGACAACATCACACAGACACACACACGGACACACCCAGACAATCCAAATCACACAGACAATCCATCAAACAACTCTCCCACGCAGGAATCCTACTCACACAGTTTCTGCACACTGTACAAGTACAAGGGCAAACAGCCATCTACACATAACCTTGGACACTGCCTGTGTTAATCTATCCATCTCTCCCTCCCTCTATCTCACATGCGCTAATCTATCCATCTCTCCCTCCCTCTATCTCACACACACCGTGAAGACAGAGCCAATGGAGCTGTGGGCCTGCACCGTGCAGGAACCCACCTGCACACATCTCAAAACATTTGCAAGAAAGTGAGAAGTGTAACAGGTTGTCAGGTGGTTTTTTTCAGAACAATGGGTGGGAAAAAACTCAAAAGAAAACAAAACCCACTCCCATGACAAAGTCACTTCCTTCTAACTCGTAACAAAAAAAAATTAAAATTAATTGAACATTTTTATTTGTGAACGTTTTCAATACATTACTATGCCAATGAACATAATATGGTGAAAGGAAAACCACAAGACAACACTACAGAAATAAGGGAGTGTGAGAGAGCAACACACACACACACACACACACACACACACAAATTTCAGTTCACTTTTGTGCCCAGCCGTCTTCTAGCGTCTAAATGTAGATGGTTTTTATGACCCTGTCAACACAATTTAGATCCATTCGGAGGTGGGCTTTTAACTTTGGCTGTTACTGTTACGGCCAACCTGGGCTGAGAGGGATACTGTATCCCTCACCCAAGCAAAAAGACCGAGATACTCGATAAATTATATCACTCGGGAACTGGGCTCGGGCCTACTGTGTACGTAAGTAAAGTGCCTAACTGCTACACCACAGACCCCTCTGTATCCCGCTCTGCCCAGATTTGCTGTGACAAGTAAGTACGTGTGTGTGTGCCCCAGGGGCCACAAGTCCACCTGCCCACACAGCACAGCTCCCTGCCACAAGCACGGCCACACTTCTCCCCTCTGTCTACTCAGGGCTCACCTCCACAAACGGTCAACCCCTCCCATAAATTACTACAGTCCAACCCGCTCCAGCAGCCTCCTGTTCAAGACAATCACCAGTACAAACAAGCACTTCTCACTACCCCCTTGCGTTTTTTAAAAAATGTACCGTAATGACACTACAGAAATTCCAACAAAGTCTAAGACCCAGTAGGGCCAGCGCTTTCCCCCTCACCCACCCACCCACCTGTAGGAAAGACACCACAAGTCTCGCCTTCTCCCTTTCTTTGTCTTTCAATCCCTCCCTCTGCCTACATAGGGAACAACACCACCACTTCACTCTCAAATGTCCTCCAGGCACAAAGTAACCAAAAGACCATGAGCAAGACAAGAGAAGAAATAAAACACAAGCTGTGAGACACACTAGTCATGGACACGGTGAGTGGCTCAACTCTGTACGCGCGCGCGCGCGTGTGTGTATGTGTGCGCGTGCGTGCGTGTCAAGACTACTTAACACCTGTCTTCGACACAAAATGAAGACGACAAAAGATTCACAAGCTATATGAACAAGGCAACTCAACAGGCCAATGACGGAACCGCTACCACGTACACTACAACTACACACACATCGTCACTCAACCGGGGAATACTACACTTACTTCCTACAATACTGGCCACTGGCAAGCTAACCACCTCACTTGATCTAGTCTACCACAATACAGCACGCACACACAGACACGCACACAGACACAGCTTCAACATAAAAGATGTAGCCGACAGGCTCCCACTGATCAATCAGAACCGAGAGGCCGTCATTCTAAGCAGCTTCTGAATATCACGCTAGCACTTTATCCCTTCCCAGGGAGCCCTCCAAATGGACAAACAAACAGCGACACACAAGTGGACTCATGATCTATTCATAAATATTAAGTGCAGGAGTGTCTACACAATTCTGTAAGTTGAATGCAACTCAAAATAATGATGCCATGATACAAAATACACAAAATAATGCTTGATATTGAGTGATTGCTTGGTCAGTTTTCTTCATAGAATGATGCATAGTGAAATAACCAATCACAAAATTAACTTTGACAAAAGGGGTTGAAAGAAAACCACTAGGGTGAGGGACACACAAACAAACACACACAAGAAGACAAAGCTAGAGAGCGGACGGGCCACACAATGAGGTCTAGTAATGCCCTCACTACTTTGTCTCTATCACTCTCCTCCTCCTCCAGCCCCCCCCCCAACTGCCGGTCAGACAGGGAGGAAGAATCTTCTCTAATACTGTAGTTGTGATGACACACTCAGACAGCACAACCACACCCGCCCTAGCCCCACACACATCCCACACACATGCACACTTGGGGACAAAACTGAATACACCTACAAAATCTCTGACTCTGTCTTCATCTTAATTCTTTCTAAAAAAACCAAAAACAACCAAAGTGCTTCATTCGTTCTTGTCATTGCAGCAAAGCGGCACTAAACAAAAAACAAATCAAGGCGCTTTGAGACGTGCATTTCTACAAGACTAGCAGTTGAAGAGCCAAACCAAAGATCCAAGCATGCAAAGTGGACTGACTCATAGTGCCCAGCTGGGCGAGGCAGCCCAGACATCTCTCTCCCCACCGTCTATGTCCGACCGCCGGCTCATCACCCTCTCCTCCACAGCCTCCGCCACAGATGGGCCCACTCCCACAAAGCCTAGCTTCCAGAAGAAACCATCACCACACCGCCATTATTTTATCAACCATCACTCCCTTTCAGATTTCACCTCCACAGTCCATGACTCTCTAGTCTCTAGTCCTGAAATTCAAAACCCCAGCTTTACAATATGACCCAAAAAAAAAGAAGGAAAAAAACCCAAAAAGAAAACACAGTTTTTTGAAATATAGGAGAGAGCCCATTTGTGGCGGATACTGTTACGAGTTTCCCATCCCATTGTCACATGTAAGCCAAAGACAAAAGCCTGACTTTCCTGGCAGGAAGGAACGGCCTGTGCGTGCCCCCCCCCCCCCCCCCCG